AAATACATAATGTATAGGCCGTGAATTGGTAGGTCGGGTTTTAGGTCGTAAATCAGATTATGGCATAGTAGCTAGTTACGTAACTTGGCTATCGCATAAATATTTGGACCTAAACACAAAGGTGTTTACAGTAATCTTACACGTCTTACACGTTTGGGGGGGGATTCAATATTCGGTAAAAATACCCCCCCTTATGATATTTCGAGTGGCATTTATATTGCTGTAACGAATTCTCATATCCATGTCACGCCCGGTACAACAAAACAATAACCGTCCGTCAACTATCACAACACTGTTTCATCCAATTCATGTTACAACCTAACCCCGTAACATCATGTAATAACCTAACCCCGTTACATCATGTTATAACCTAACCCCGTTACATCATGTTATAACCTAACCCCGTAACATCATGTTATAACCTTACCCCGTTACATCATGTTACAACCTAACCCCGTAACATCATGCTGCAACCTAACCCCGGTTACATCATGTTATAACCTTACCCCGTAACATCATGTTATAACCTAACCCCGTTACATCATGTTATAACCTAACCCCGTTACATCATGTTATAACCTAACCCCGTTAACCTAACCCCGTTACATCATGCTGCAACCTTACCCGGTTACATCATGTTACAACCTAACTCCCTGCTTCAAAAAACCGTGTAACAGCTCCGTAAATGCCAAACCCGTTTATGAATCAAACCCGTTTCAGCTAAGCCCCGAACACCCGAAGCCTGTTACAACAATCCTTACAACCAAACCAATAACAGCCGAACCTTGTTACAACAAAACGCAGTGGCAGCCAAACTTTGTCACAGACAAACACTGATACAACAAAACACTGTAACAACTAAACTCTGTCACAACCAAACTTTGTTACAACCAAACTCTGTTACAACCAAACCCTGTCGCAGCCGAACACTGATACAACCAAACTCTGTTACAACCAAACTCTGTCACAACCAAACTCTGTTACAACCAAATCTGTTACAACCAAACTCTGTTACAGCCAAACTCTGTTACAACCAAACTCTGTTACAGCCAAACCCTGTTACAACCAAACTCTGTTACAGCCAAACTCTGTTACAACCAAACTCTGTTACCACCAAACTCTGTTACAGCCAAACCCTGTTACAACCAAACTCTGTTACAACCAGACTCTGTTACAGCCAAACCCTGTTACAACCAAACCCTGTTACAACCAAACCCTGATACAACCAAACCCTGTTACAACCAAACTCTGTTACAACCAAAAACCAAACTCTGTTACAACCAAACCCTGTTACAACCAAACTCTGTTACAACCAAACACTGTCACAGACAAACCCTGATACAACCAAACTCTGTTACAACCAAACCCTGTCGCAGCCGAACACTGATACAACCAAACTCTGTTAAACCAAGCTCTGTTACAACCAAACTCTGTTACAACCAGACTCTGTTACAGCCAAACCCTGTTACAACCAAACTCTGTTACAACCAAACCCTGTCGCAGCCGAACACTGATACAACCAAACTCTGTTAAACCAAGCTCTGTTACAACCAAACTCTGTTACAACCAAAAACCAAACTCTGTTACAACCAAACCCTGTCGCAGCCGAACACTGATACAACCAAACTCTGTTAAACCAAACTCTGTTACAACCAAACTCTGTCACAACCAAACTCTGTTACAACCAAACCCAGATACAACCAAACCCTGATACAACCAAACCCTGTTACAACCAAACTCTGTTACAGCCAAACTCTGTCACAACCAAACTCTGTTACAACCAAACCCTGTCGCAGCCGAACACTGATACAACCAAACTCTGTTAAACCAAACTCTGTTACAACCAAACTCTGTTACCACCAAACTCTGTTACAGCCAAACCCTGTTACAACCAAACCCTGTTACAACCAAACTCTGTTACAACCAAACTATGTCACAACCGAACCCTGTCACAGACAAACACTGTTACAACCAAACTCTGTTACAACCAAACTCTGTTACAACCAAACTCTGTTACAACCAAACTCTGTTACAACCAAACTCTGTTACAACCAAACTCTGTTACAACCAAACTCTGTTACAACCAAACTCTGTTACAACCAAACTCTGTTACAACCAAACTCTGTTACAACCAAACTCTGTTACAACCAAACTCTGTTACAACCAAACTCTGTTACAACCAAACTCTGTTACAACCAAACTCTGTTACAACCAAACTCTGTTACAACCAAACTCTGTTACAACCAAACCCTGATACAACCAAACTCTGTTACAACCAAACTCTGTCACAACCAAACCCTGATACAACCAAACTCTGTTACAACCGAACCCCGGTCACAGACAAACCCTGATACAACCAAACTCTGTTACAACCAAACTCTGTTACAACCAAACTCTGTTACAGCCAAACCCTGTTACAACCAAACTCTGTTACAACCAAACTCTGTTACAACCAAACTATGTCACAACCGAACCCTGTCACAGACAAGCACTGATACAACCAAACTCTGTTACAACCAAACCCTGATACAACCAAACTCCGTCACAACCAAACCCTGTCACAACCAAACTCTGTCACAACCAAACTCCGTCACAACCAAACCCTGTCACAACCAAACTCTGTCACAACCAAACTCTGTTACAACCAAACTATGTCACAACCGAACCCTGTCACAGACAAACCCTGATACAACCAAACTCTGTTACAACCAAACTATGTCACAACCGAACCCTGTCACAGACAAGCACTGATACAACCAAACTCTGTTACAACCACACTCTGTTACAACCAAACTCCGTCACAACCAAACTCTGTCACAACCAAACTCCGTCACAACCAAACTCTGTCACAACCAAACTCTGTCACAACCAAACTCTGTCACAACCACACTCTGTTACAACCACACTCTGTTACAACCAAACTCTGTCACAACCAAACTCTGTCACAACCAAACTCTGTCACAACCACACTCTGTTACAACCAAACTCTGTTACAACCAAACTCTGTTACAACCACACTCTGTTACAACCAAACTCTGTTACAACCAAACTATGTTACAACCAAACTCTGTTACAACCAAACTCTGTCACAACCACACTCTGTCACAACCGAACCCTGTCACAGACAAACCCTGATACAAACAAACCCTGATACAACCAAACTCTGTTACAGCCAACTCCTGTTACAACCAAACTCTGTTACAACCAAACCCTGTTACAACCAAATTCTGTTAAAGCCAATCCCTGCAAGAGCTTAACCCCGTTACAAACAAACCTTGTAAGACCAAAACCAGGTTATTACCAAACCTTGTTTCAGCTAAACCCAGATACAGTCAAACCTTGTTTCAGCTAAACCCAGGTACAGTCAAACCTTGTTTCAGCTTAACCCAGGTACAGTCAAACTTTGTTTTAGACAAACCGCGTTACAACCAAACCGCGTTACAGCAAACCCATGTTACAACCAAACCTTGTACATGTAACAACTCACCGACTTGTTTTACCAACAACCATCCCCTGTAGCAGTCCAATGTATAATTCCCACGTGTATACTTTTAAACACAGACCCTTTTTACAACCAACATTTAAACTATCTATTCTAGTACTTAAATACACCCCTGCTAAATACCTTAGTACGGTATTGTTACCTGCCGAACGACTTGATAATCTGATTACTGTTGTTATCAGCCCGCCAAATCAGCGATAACCAAGAGATCTAACGGAAAATTAACAACAAAAAAAGAAGATATATATGCATATGTGTTTTCCTTGAGGACTGGAATAGTATGACCATTTCTTGAGCATTTCTTTTCATTACAACTTTTATACATGTATGTTTTGCTAAATATCAACTACCCGAACTGTATTTTAATTGCGTGCCATTTACATTCACACATGCCCACTGATACGTGTAAATGAATAGAACGGCATGTCAGCTGCGATCGACACTATTCAAGTTAAATAATGGCAAGCCATCTGGGGTGGTGTGTCACATACCCGTGACGTCATATTCCTTCCAGGGTGGGCGATATCTACCAGGACATGCACAGGGACCGGAATTAATCTAATACAATGTAAAAGACTACAATTATCATACTTAAAAGAGCCTGACCGAAATACTAGGTTTCTATATACCGTTCTAAAGGCTATTGGTGGGTGTTACTTTTTTTTATCAAAACAAACCCCATATTCGTTTTGCCCTTCCCACGAATTCCGCTCTACTTTGAATGGCGGTTTTCTTGTCTTGAGACGATAGTAAGGTCAACTAATATCCGGATTGATATTTACGGGGAAAAATATCCTATGATAATTAAATTGCGAAACCGATATTATTTCAAACACAAGCAATATTCCACAGAAACAGGAAGTACTGAGATGATTTATATCCGGATTATCTCAATTTCCTGAAATCACTAAAATACCATCCACGTCACAGTTGTTGACTTTCTGTTAATTAGTAATTTTGAATGTTAGTTAGAAGGTATTTTTTTTTTAGAACTTACGACTTTAATCAGATACAATTAAAATTTCATTAAAGTTAAGATAGGTAGTTAGGGAAAGCTTTTTATTTTTCTTTAAGTCTTTGATAATAAACAGTTTAGTTATTAGATCTAACAGGATTGTGATATTGATTTTGAAATAAATACTAACTTTAGTAGTTGTGATCATGTTTATAAAAAACAGAGTGAATGTATATATGTCAAACAGAACCGTTTTAGTCCAGAACAATATTATCCATAGTTCGTGAGAAAAAATGACTCCATAATTGTTTCATTCCTCATATTTATCATTTTTCTGAACACTATTGCCATTACGGCTGAATCGTCATCGTTATAACTACAATGTCAAAATTTAAATCAACGTTTTTAATGTTGTGTTATAAAAAGTATATTTTCTTCAGAAAGTAAATTATGTATTACTTTATATATCTAAGTCCATACAGGGGAAACTCTTATAATAACTTTCTATCACTTGAAACAAATGAAAAATACATATTGACTTACCGTTACCAAAGACAGGCAGAGAACAACGAATAATCTCGTGATGTATTCCATCAGGTTTATAATTGAGATTTCCAACCACACAAAAAATCACACAGGTAAGTTGAAGCCGTAAGGTACAAAGGATATCTCTGCCTGACTGTTGTGTTGTACTAGTTACCGGCCTGCTGATCACAGACTGTGCTGATAAAGAATCGGCCTCACACTATACTCAAAAGTTAACCCTAAAGTTCACTTCCGGCATACGTCACAAAAACCCAAATGTCGTCCGATCTTGATTTAAATACCTTTTGTGTACAATAGAAGTAGGGACTAGGAGGGGGCGGATACGGGTGAATTGGTTCAATAGATCCATTATAAAATGAGAGCTAAGATCAAATTAAAAGCGGAAATTATTTTATTCAAAAGCATTTGAAATAAGTGATTTAAACGTGTTCTATTTAATTTATTCAGACACTGGAAAGTATCAAACACATTCTTATGGTTACTGTTTTAATTGAAGGAGAATGTGAAAGGATTACAGGACTGGTCGCTTGTGCGATCTACCTATGTTAAACAGTTACATGTAAGTATTTAACTCTAACATAAAAACGATAGAAAAACCTTGACAAAATTCAACGGAGAGGTAATTTATGTAAAGATGATTTAAGCGATGAATGATTAACTATAATTAAAGTGTAAGACAAATTTGGAATGACAGCACAAAGACAATATGTAAATAAAGTACTGTTATTATCAAGGAAGTCGCGGATCGGCAACCTTCCGCGCGCGTTGATAATTTCTGCTCGTGAGTTGTTGTGATTTCACGTGCATGAATAGAGATACGATTAGTTCCTTCCTCTTCTCTGTGCTGCTGTTGTTCGATGATACATAACGAGTCCGACACTTTGTTGTTTTATATAACAGAACCAAATTTGAAAGTTTATTAGGTTAAAGATTTATTTGTGGCATTTATATTATTATTTGAGATTTTCTGTGATTGCAGGCTTGTGTAATTTTTGAGCTAACAATAGATCAACGGCGGGCGCTAGCGAGATTACGAGTTATCTCCCGTCGGACAATCAGCACGTATACTGTTCTATTTAAGTAATTTGATCATATCTGTTAATCAACACACAGTTACTTCAGACATAAACCATGCAGACGTAAGCTTTACCGGTTATCATTTTAAAAGATATTTCTTCTTATGCAGGAAATCAGTTTCTTGTTTAAATTTATGGTAGATTTATTTTCTTAAATCCCGACAGGAGTTGCTAAGTAAGAAACGTATCGCCTAAATGTTTATTTCTCAGTGCAGACAGCTAATCTGGCTTTTGGTAACTTAATCGAGTCAATTCAATTGCCCAATGTTGCCGAACTGACCGAACTAAGAACAGTGACCAATATTTTGTATACAAATTTGAAGGGTAATTTTCAATACATTCACACTTTTATGTTCATAGAAATGCGGTCATTACACAACTCTGTATAGTATTCTTCAGACGCTTACTCAGCGACATATAATGCCTTAGTGTATGAAGTTAATATATACCAAAACATCCATATATTATACCATCGCTTCGTCCTTAACAGAACAAAGAAAGTGTTTTCTGATTGGTCAATGACACAATTGATTTTCCACACTGAAAATATCCCTTTTGATTTCTGTCAAAGTGTGGAAAATGTCAGTTTTTTTAAAGTTGATACATTTTGATATCTCAGTGGCAAAACCTAAAAAAATGTATTTTCATTTTTAATGTTTTAGGATTAATTTTAGAAACTAACCAATTTCGGTGATATAAAAATGCAAATACTGTATTATCTTTGCCTACTTTATTAAGTGTAGCTACTTGAAAATTTCTCTTATATAATGGAATAAAACGGAGTGAGCGAATTCAACTCATTCTTCTTGGCAATGTTGACCTGTGGCCAAATAGATTACGTCGTACAATGCATAACTGACCTGGTTCTAGCTCTTTTAAGATTCACGTCTCCCTGCCGTTTTACATTCCAATTTGCAACAATACGATTCACGACTCTCTGCCGTTAGAATTCAACACACGATTTACATTTCCCTGTCGTTTCACATATCGATTTACGACAACACGATTCAAAACCCTCCTGTTTCATTTTCCGATTTCTGACAATTTATCAGATGCATCAATATAAGTCGTAAACTGATGGTATGACGTCGACAACGGTGATTTAACGATGAGTTTACACGAGTCAAGTCTCCCTAATATTTCACATTCCGATTTACGACAACACGATCCCCGCTCCTGCTGTTTCACTTTCCGATTCATAACATCACGATTCACGTCTCCCTATTGTTTCACATTCCAATTTACCACAACACAAGTCACATCTCAATGCGGATTACATTCCAATTTACTGCAACACGATTCATGTCTCAATGCTGTTTCACATTCCAATTCCCAAAAACACGATTCACGTTCTCCTGCTGTTTCACATGCCGATTTACAACAACATGATTCACATCTCCCTGCCGTTTCACATTCCGATTTACGACAACAAGATTCACACACACTGTTTTTTCACATTCCGATTCACAACAACACGATTCACTTTCCCCTGCTATTTCACACTCTGGTATATATACGACAACACGATTCACGTCTCCGTACTGTTTCACATTCCGATTTACGACAACACGATTAACGTCTTAATGTCGTTTCACATTCCGATTTACGACAACACGATTAACGTCTTATTGTCGTTTGACATTCCGATTTACAACAACACGATTAACGTCCCAATGCCGTTTAACATTCCGATTTACGACAACACGATTCACGTTCCCCTGCTGTTTCACATGCCGATTTACAACAACATGATTCACATTTCCCTGCCGTTTCACATTCCGATTTACGACAACAAGATTCACACACCCTGCTCTTTCACATTCTGGTTCACAATAACACGATTCACATTCCCCTGCTATTTCACACTCTGGTATACGACAACACGATTCACGTCTCCGTACTGTTTCACATTCCGATTTACGACAACACGATTAATGTCTTAATGTCGTTTCACATTCCGATTTACGACAACACGATTAACGTCTCAATGCCGTTTTACATTCTGATTCACGACACCACGATTCATGTCTCCATGGTGTTCCACAATCAAATTCACGACAACACCATTTTCGTCGTCCGACTGTTTCACATTTCGATTTACGACAACACACGATTCACCTCTCTTTGCTGTTTTACATTCCGATTTAGGACAACACAATTCACGCCCCCTGCCGTTTCACATTTCGATATACGACAACACGATTCACGTCTCCCTACTGTTACACCTTCCGATTTACGACAACATGATTCACATTTCCAGCGGTTTCGCATTCCGATTCACGATAAAACGATTCATATTTCCCTGCTGTTAACATTCAGATTAACAACATTATTCGAATCTCCCTGCTTTTTCACCTTCCGATTTACGACAACATGATTCACATTTCCTTGCTGTTTCACATACAGATTCACGACAACAAAATTCACGTTTCCTGCAGTTTTGCATTCCGATTCACGATGAAACGATTCATATTTCCCTGCTGTTAACATTCAGATTCACAACATTATTCGAATCTCCCTGCTTTTTCACCTTCCGATTTACGACCGCACGATTCATGTCTAAATGCCGTTTTACCTTACAATTTACGACAACACGTTTCAGGTCTCTTTGCTGTTTCCAATCCGATTCACGACAACACAGTTAACGTCTCCCGATCGTTGCACATTCTAATTAACGACAACAAGATTCACGTCTCCCTGCCGTTTAACTTTTCGATTTACGACAACACGATTCTCATTTCCATGCTGTTTCGCATTCATTTTCACGACCACACGATGTACGTCCCCCTCCTGTTTCACATTCCGATTCATGATATCACGATTCACTTCAACCTAATGTTTCACATTCCGATTTACGGCAATACACTAGATGCGTAGATAGTAGTCGTAGACTAATGGTTTGACGTCGACAACGGCAAGTTAACGGTGAGTTAACACGATATACGTCTCCCTGCTTCCACATTCCGATTTACGACAACACGATTAACATCTTCTTGCCGTTTCACATTCCGATTCATGACAGCACGATTCACGTCCGCTGCTGTTTCACATTACGACTTAGGAAAACACAATTCATGTCTCCCCGCCGTTTTACATTCCGATTCATGACAGCACGATTCACGTCCGCTGCTGTTTCACATTACGACTTAGGAAAACACAATTCATGTCTCCCCGCCGTTTCACATTCCGATTTACGACAACACGATTCACGTCTCCCTTCTGTTTCAAAAATCCGATTAACGACAACAGGTTTCCCGTCCCCCTGCTGTTTCACGTTACGATTTACGACAACACGTATCACGCCCCCTGCCGTTTCACATTCCCTTATAATACGATTCACCTCTCCTTATTTTTTTTAAATTCCGATTTTACGACAACGCTCAATTCACTTCTCCCTGCTGTTTCACATTCCGATATATGACAACACGATTCATGTCTACATGCCGTTTTACATTCTGATTCACGAAAACACGATTCACATTTCCCTGCTGTTTCACATTCAGTTTCACGGCAACACGATTCACACTCTCCAATTTTGTCAAATACTAGTATTCCACTTCACTATCGCACGTTTCACACCCGTTCTGTTTTATGTTCTGATTCGTGGCTGGACGATTCACCCCACCACCACTCTAACCTATAAAACAAAACTCTTCCTCAATATCATATATATATATATATACACTGTATATATCTATATATATATATATACACTGTATATATCTATATATATACACTGTATATATCTATATATTTAGATATATCTTTGTTCATATTTAAACGCATACATTGGACAGATTGAATAAAAATAATGATGAACTCAGTAAATTCAGAAAACGAACAATGTGTTTTCATTTTAGTTGATGACACGGGTTAAAACTGTACTGAATCATTTTTATTATTAGAAATTTATCTTTGTTTATTTACAAAGCTAATATAATTAGACATGGAATTTTGTTTAATGTGTAACTCAAATTAATTCCTTGCATCCTTCGCTTCGCATTTTTTTTTTGTTAAAGTCTATTGCATCCTGTTTTCAGGTTTACTATTGTGAATGAGTATGTTTCTTCTGAATGTGAGTTATTTTGCTGCTATAAAATTCATGTCAATGCCCTCAATATTTGAGAG